TTATCAGTTGTTTGTGTTGATTTTAAAAATAATATTTATAGTATTTCTTTAGTTGCAATTGTGATACTTGTTGATTTTACACAAACAATAATTTTCTTTATTATCATTATCATTGTTATAACATTTATGAGAGACAGCGTTGAATAGACATGCTGAAGGAATATCAACTATACTGATGACAAGTGAAACTAATACTAGTCTTGACACAAGTCCTTGTTCAAGAATCTGTGAGCTAAGAGTGTCCATCTTCCCTGCTATTCCTGTTCTTCCAGGCTGTTGTCAAGTTCATAATTATCATTGCATATCATAAGTCATAACATTAAATAATTGTTTGTTTTTTAAAATAAAATAAAATAACACACTTGATAAAACAGTAACATGTAAAATCAATACCTTCTTTTAGCTGGAAACCTCCACTAAAGTATTGCAGTAAGTTGATTCCAAGCATAGCTTGGTAAAAAAATAACTTGCTTCTTCTAGTGATGGGCGATATATCGATTCTTTATCGATATAAACGATATTTCACAGAATCAATTTGAATCATTATCGAAAAATTTATGCAATTTTCATCGATCTATTGACCACGCCCATTTATTAAGGCTAAATAACTAATTTTAATAAGTAATTGCACTGTTGAACTGCAAGAAAGAGGCAACTGACCAGTTGTTAGCTCAACCTACCCCAATAAGAAGAGAAACAAGGCTCAAGAACATGGAAATGATCTTCTCTCATGTCCAGTAGTGCCAAAATTATTAGCCACACCCTTGACACACCCCTAAATGAAGGTGTGGTTATCGTATCGTTATAATCAATATTTCCTCAAAAAGTCCATTATCGATCGTTATTGAAAATTAAGAAAATTGGCCATATCGCCCATCACTAGCTTCTTCAAGAGCTGCACATCTGAGCATGTGCGACCACACCCAAATTTTGGAGCACATGGTAAGCTTCTTTAATTAACAAAATGGCGGCATGTAGCTAAGATGGCTCGATCCAGCAGTCACAGTATCACTTTTTCCTTACTTAAAGAATGATCTGATGGGACATGGACCTGCGCATAGACTGTTGGAGTAGATTGGTGTAAGAATTATCCTTGTAGCACCGACTGATACTGAGATACACACCGACAACTGGATTGACAGGACTTGATGATGAAGATGATGATGATGAAGATGAAAAAAGGTGGCTGAACAAAACGGCCGGTTCGCCGATTTTTGATTATTCGCTTAGACAAGGTCTAGAGCCACACTAGTTGTACCATTGGAGTCCTCTGGTCAAGATAAGGTCCTCTATAAAGTCTGGTAAGCA